CATAGCACCGCATAGCACCGCATAGCACCGCATAGCACCGCATAGCGCCGCATAGCACCGCATAGCACCGCATAGCACCGCATAGCACCGCATAACGCCGCATAGCGCAGCATAGCGCCGCATAGCGCCGCATAGCGCCGCATAGCACCGCATAGCACCGCATAGCACCGCATAGCGCCGCATAGCGCCGCATAGCACCGCATAGCACCGCATAGCACCGCATAGCCCCGCATAGCCCCGCATAGCCCTGCATAGCGCCGCATAGCCCCACATATTGAGAGATGGGGTGCTAAGAAACAAATAACAGGAGAGCAACCACTGGATTTGGGGAAAACATATTCCAAGGGGGTATCACTGCATGGTCGGTTTCAAATGCTTTTCATTTTCCATACTTTCCATTGAACTTGGGAACAAATCCCAAGTGACAATGACGAAGATTTTTTGAAAGAGAAGAAACATGAAGAAACCGCCTTGTCTCTGAATCTTGGTGCTTTGGAGTTGGCAAGTGATGCATTTTTTATTTTTCGGTCACAGATGGTGAATGGATTTGGCACTAAGCAACGCTTTGGCGCACTTGTCTGCCCAGTCTTGTACCGAATCGAGTTCAGACACCACTCCAGTCGGGAATAAGCGGTATTGGGTGTAGAAAGCCAAAATTGCCCGTTTGAGCGTCACTATGCTTAGGCGCGGGTTGCCTTGAGACCCCCGAATGACTGCTAGCAGCGCCTAGCAATGGGGAATCTTTGACTTACAAACACTAACTCACTGCGGTAGTTTGAAGCAGCTTACTATTTGAAACACATATCAAAATACAAATTGGAATTTTGACCCTTCCCATCCTCTCGGTTCACAATCACGTCCTTTATCGTGACCATTTTTCGTGTGTGGACTTTCCCACTATGGTCGACAACCAAAGTCATCCCAACCTGAGATGCACTGATATAAAGTTTCAAGGGCTATCCAAAAAAATGATAGGATGGTTATAGGGGTCTGTCCAGGAGAAATGATATAATATAAATGTAGCAATAAACATTCCAAGGAACTTCCCTTAGAGGTATTGCCGCGGCAAATGCCTCTAGAAAAGGTTGATGGGCATCCGTTTCACCTTCGTTTTCATCTTCGGATGACGAACTCATGGCCACCGCCCCAAAAATGTGCCTAGTATCGGGCATGGTTTGAATGGAAAATTTAGCAGAATGACGGGCTACCAGACAATTCACCGGAACCCTTCCCTATCCGCAGAAAATTTCCGCACTGCACAGCCAGGCGGATGGTGGCGCACTTGATCGGCTGACCGCCATGCCGGCCTAGCGCAGCAGTCCGGCTTCATGGATATGAAGGCCCTTTATATGTATTCATGGGAACTACTGGCTGGGCCACGGGTAAATTTGAGCATGGAACTTGGGGGTGCAATGTGTATTGTAGTATTTGCTGCTTCTTATTGCTTATCTACTTGCATCTTCATTCTTCTGGATCTTTTTCTCCAGGCAGGCACAACCTTGCCCCTACTCTAACGGAGCTAGATTTCAAAAAAAATCGCCATATGTGGGGCCGCAGAGGTGATAGCAGCAAAAATCCATGACTGGACAACTGCCCAGCCTGTTCCGTTCACCAGACATGCCGATGAGTGGGCACCACCTGCGGAGCAATGGTTGCCTTTCAGAATTTTGAATGGTGATGCCCTATGTTCCGACAGAACCCATGGATCAATTCACCTATAGGGCAAACTACAACCGTTTACTAAGATTAGCGACATAGCTCGCGTCCACCCCAGCGGGCGGCCTGCGTGAATTCATACGTGCCCATGTCAGCGGCATAATACAACGCATGAGCTCCTGAACCTGCACATATAAATATGCATTAGACAGGAATATATAGGTTGAGTGTATACCTGTATATAGATATGTAAAAATTAATCTTTATATATAGACTAATTTCAAACCTTTCACTCATATCATGCTGGGATTTCTTGACAAAGTTCTTGAATACTACTATGGGAACCGCACCATATATCAAACATATATAACGATTATGTTTTTCGCGACTTGGGATGCCAAAATTGCACTTTCAAAACCGTGTCTCACCGTGCAGTTTACAGCGCGTGGAAATTCACGCCATGTGCGGTTTTTGGAAAAATGGCCTGCGGGAACGGCGACAAAAGTTCAAAGTTGACATTAATCTGAAGTATATTTATCCGTTGTGACAACGAAATGTTGATCCGGATTTGCTCTAAACCGAGGTTTTGCCACCCCAGACGATCAATACTTGCCAGTTTTAGATACGAAAGGGATTTCCCCACAGCAACGTTGGTCACGGCAAAGCAAGGGATGCATATCTATATCTATGATATAAAATAATTTGGCCCATATCCAAATCCATATTACCATGGAATATATTGTGATGATGATGGAAAGCCACCCGCAAAAATTCATATAATCACTGTATAAGTTATAAGTATATATATATATATATAGTTGTCCGAGTTATTGTTGCAAAAGGTTTGGGGCCAAACCTTTTGCAAAACTAGCCTTTTTGCCAGATACGCTTGTCTTGAGCCATGCATGCGCAGCACGCGTGAATTAAGCAGCTGCCGTTTTCACAATGACCATTTTACAGCCAAAATCATTTTCACAACCATATCCATGTTCACGATCCCGTTTTCACGACCAATTCCGTTTTTACGACCCCGGTTTCACGACCAAATCCGTTTTCACAACCCCATTTTCACGGCCAACTGTTTTTTTTGAAGCCAAACGCCTTTCCTAAGGCCAAATGGCCATTTGGCCTTGGGCATCGTTTTTTGCGATCAAACGCATCCCAAGGAACACCATCGCCCCGCATAGCCCCGCATAGCACCGCATAGCCCCGCATAGCCCCGCATAGCCCCGCATAGCCCCGCATAGCGCTACGCAGCGCTACGCAGCACTACGCAGCCCACACGCAGCGCTACGCAGCGCTATGCAGCGCTACGCAGCACTACGCAGCACTACGCAGCCCACACGCAGCGTTACGCAGCCCTACGCAGCACTACGCAGCCCACACGCAGCGCTACGCAGCGCTACGCAGCGCTACGCAGCACTACGCAGCCCACACGCAGCGCTACGCAGCGCTACGCAGCGCTACGCAGCACTACGCAGCCCACACGCAGCGCTACGCAGCACTACGCAGCCCACACGCAGCTACGCAGCACTACGCAGCACTACGCAGCACTACGCAGCCCACACGCAGCCCTACGCAGCCCTATACGCAGCCCACACGCAGCGCTACGCAGCGCTACGCAGCCCACACTCAGCGCTACGCAGCCCTACGCAGCACTACGCAGCCCACACGCAGCGCTACGCAGCACTACGCAGCACTACGCAGCACTACGCAGCCCACACGCAGCCCTACGCAGCCCACACGCAGCGCTACGCAGCGCTACGCAGCCCACACTCAGCGCTACGCAGCCCTACGCAGCACTACGCAGCCCACACGCAGCGCTACGCAGCGCTACGCAGCGCTACGCAGCCCTCAAAAATTTCGACCCCCCCTGTCGCCAACACTGTATATATATATATATATGCTAGCATTCTGCTGTGGAGACCCCACACTTAGAACATCCCATATTGAACTGCGCTTGATTATTGATTAAACTACGCTTTAGTGCTGGCGTACATGGGGATTCCAGATGTCCTTCGGGTCAAGTTCACATCTCAAAGATTTCTGATTCAAATCAGTAGATCAACCGTTCCACATTGGATTCAAAATTCGGCTGCCAGTTCAATATATATATATATATAGAGTAAATATATGTATATATGCTAGCATTCTGCTGTGGAGACCCACACTTAGAACATCCCATATTGAATTGCGATTGAATATTGATTCAGGTACGCTTTAGTGTTAATGTACATGGTGATTCCAAATGTGCTTCGAATTCATTTTACACCCTGAAGATTTCTGAGTCAAATCAGCAGATTACCCGTTCCACATTGGATTCAAAATTCGGCTGACAGTTTGACATATATATATATATATGCTAGCATTCTGCTGTGGAGACCCCACACGTAGAACATCCCATATTGAACTGCGCTTGATTATTGATTAAACTACGCTTTAGTGCTGGCGTGCATGGGGATTCCAAATGTCCTTCGGGTCAAGTTCACATCTCAAAGATTTCTGAATCAGATCAGTAGATTGACCGTTCCACATTGGATTCAAAATTTCCTCTGGCCTCTGGCAGTTAGTTATATATATATATATATGCTAGCATTCTGCTGTGGAGACCCCAGACTTAGAACATCCCACATAAGGCTTACCTACACCATCCCAGCATTTGACGGTATCTACTTGGTTGCCAGTGTCGACAGATCTGCAGGAAGCGTACTTTATCCCAAGGCCCCAAAACAAGGCTTTGGCCGCAGTCAAAAATCAAAACCGATATATATATATATATATACATATATTCATATGATTTCATTTTTCATGTAAATTATCGAACAATATAAATGTACATATGAAAATCATTATAGTGACGGACAATCACCTAGAACATCAATGTTTCCAAATTGTCCAATCTCTCACTTTAGAACCGCCGTCTGGTGAGTTTCCCACGCATAGACGAATCCGCAGAACTGCTTGGGAAGATCAACAGAGATGTGTATATATAAGGTGCGCAAGAATTGCCAACAAAGGCATCAATATTAGCTTGACATGATCGCTATGCAACCGGCACTTGGGAAAATCTGCTGAGATGTGTACATATCAAGTTTGCAAGCATTGCCAATCAAAGGCATCCAAAGCATCGTGAATTGCAAGCGATTTGATCCAACAAAAGTGACATGTGTGCAGAGTTGATGATGGGATAATGCATGATAATGTTCAAAAATTATCAGTAGCTTGCAAAGACCGCACACTTAGAACATCAGGGGCAATGTTGCTCAGATGTTCTAAGTGGGGTGTTCTAACTGTGGTGCGAAATCCTTAAACAGGCGGTTCTAAGTGTGAGATCTGAAAATTTGGAAAAATTTTATGTTCTAAGTGTATGTCCTGCACTATATATTGTTTAAAATGTAGATAATTCTTTATTTATTAGCCCAGTTACAAAACAACTTGGGAATACCATGGAATACCCACCGGAAATAAAACGTGGCAATTGAACAGCCTTTCCCGGCCAACCTCCATGAAGTTCGGGGTCCAGAAGCTCAGGACATGCTCCATTCGGAACGGCGCCTGCAGATGTGGCGCGCAATCCGAGTTCGATGCCATGGGTCGGAGCCTGAAAGATGGAGACGATCACGGAAAGTCATTCTGTGAAAAAAATACACCAGTTGATTGGTTTTCCCCTCCAGTCATTTGTGACATGGAGACTGGCTTGTTTTGGGATGCTTTACCTACTAAAAAAGGTTGAATTCATTAGCTTATTATATGTTAGTTTACCAGGGTTATTCTCGGTTTATTGCGGATCCTTGCAGCTCATAGTATAGATTATTGACTCGCACTTTCGTGTCTCTTCCTTTCCCGACCCCCTTCATCCGCAAGTTTCTGAATTATAATGCTTTGGGGAAAATAGTAGCAGATTGCAAGTTCAGGAAATTGATATAAATGTGCGATGTTTTGGGAAAGCTGTTGAAACTCTTTTGTTTTTGTTCCATTGCTTCCCG